AGCTGCCCCTATCAATCACAGTATTACAATTCACTAATATGGGTTACAGGAAGTTGAAGGATAGCCCAGAATTTTTTCATTAAATCTATTTTTTTCGTATTTCTAGATCATAAAAATAAAGCTTATCTTTGCAGTTTTCTATTTTTCTCCCCTTATCTAAAAGTATAATATTTTTTATATGTACATATTACTGGGGTGCTCCCTGTCAGTAAACCAGCTCTCTGGAACCACAGAGGAACGCAGGCAGGGAGTTAGTTCTCCACCAGTGCAGAGATTTAAGGGCATGTGCTTAAGTGGATCTCTCTTGAGTTCAGTGAAGCTGAAAACAGATACAGAATTACAACAATACCTACGTCTTTCACCACAAAGAGAACATTCAGACTGCTACATGCATGGACTCCAGTTATAAATTGAACCCTCAATAGAAGTGAAGCTAGGGGATCTTCCTTCCTTTTTCTCGTTGAGGTCTCTCTTCATTGCATTAGGAAGTCTTAGGACAACTGTAGTAGACTATTTGTGGAAGGGACCCTGTGCACTTCAATAGAAACATGGCTGTATTTTTAGTGCAGTGTATTGATTTAAAGTGAGCTTAATATTTCCTCTTCTAAACTCCTTTACCAGAGCAATTTTATTTCCACTCTTGACTGTAAACTGGAGAAAGACAGGGAGAAATTAAGACATTGTAACTCCAGGCAATTCTTTTAGTGATTGCAGACATCTGCGTACATTGCACTTCTCTGTCTGCTTGAGTTAGGAATCAGGAGCAGTTCTGTGTTAAGGAGCTGCTGGAACTAATTTCATTTCACATAAGCTGGGATAGATACCATGCAGTTGCACTTCTGTGAAGGGTCTGAAATTGTAGTGGTACTTATTTTCTCATCACCTTTTGATGCAGTGGTTCCTGATACCTCCCAGGTCCCCACAATTCCCTGCTGATCTCTGGAACAAATTACATGGAGAAGAAGGCCTCTCACTTGTTGGCAGTAGAGGTCTGAAATTTTAGTGCATTATATAGTTTCTAAATGCTGGATGCTCTCTGTGGAAGACATGAAGTTGCTTCCTTGCATCCTAAACACTGCACATTCTTTCCAGTGGAACTGCCTCACACCGTGCATAAGCTGCTGGTTCTTCATCACGGTGCAGATGGAAGCAGCAGCAGTGGCTGGCAGTGATGGTGCCAGCCTCTGCACGTGCTGCCTTTCTCCCTCATGTCTGTATGCACCGTTTCTCACACAGTTGGTGGTGTTTAAAATGTCTTCTACTCAAAACTGAAATTATGTTTCGTAAGCCCAGAGCAGGAAATCCAATTAATGTTCCGATATTTGGACTGCCTATCTATCTCTTATGTAATATTTCCTCTTTGCCCATTTATGTTATACATTTTGGGGTCTCTTCATTGCTGAGAAGGTGGGTGTATTTCATCTGGCTGCCAGAGAATTAAGATTTGGGGAATTTTTTTAATTATTATTTTATTTCTATATCAGGATAAGAGTATTTCTTGGGTATTTCTTGGACATTCCATGGGATCTCTGTCCAGTCTCTTGTAAGGGCACTCTGAGCACCATCATGCAGGGACAGAGCCCAGGAGCAGAACCAGAGGCTGGGGCTGATCAAGGGGTCTACCAACAGCCCCAACAGGGAAGGTGATGAACTAGGAAGGCCAACCAGGAGCAAAAGGGGCTGAGACCAGGGCTGACAACTGGAGGCAAGCTGCAATATCCATTCACAAGGTCCATCCAGGAAGTGTGGCTGGAGACTGGCACTCCTGGGACTGGTACCTCTGGGACAGGGACTGATGACTGAAGGCTGAGCTGGATGGGGTTTTGGGTCATCAGTAGGGATGTGGGGAGGCCCAAAGTGGGGCTGTGCAGGGCCAGTAAGGCCTGTTAGTGCCCCTGGGGCTCCTCTTCTGTAACCCTGGGTAGCACTATGGCCACAACCAGCCAAAGGACACAGAGGTCATAGTTCTGACTTGATAGTGCAAAGTCTTACATTTCATTCTTAGCACTGAACAGCACCCTGCTGCATGTTCATGGACATGTTTCTGTTTCTCCATTCATAAAAGGAGGTCAGTGTGGCTCTTTGGGAAGGTATAGAGCTTAGCTCCTTACTGAAAATTTGCATAATGAAAAGGCTTTCTAAGCATTGCTAATTGATTGTTACACTATTTACTGCTGAAGGAATGTAGAACATCTTGAAGAAAATCTTGGCCCTACAGAGAGAGCAGAAAAATCTTTACTTTTCCTAGAATGGAGATTTCAACTCACATACCAACTGCATTTATCAACAGGGAATCATTCTTTATGCCCTTGTCCTTGATTATGTGTCCTTGGAAAATGTTACATCAGTAAGTTTTTAGGCATACTGAATTTATGCATTAAAACATTTTTCAAAATTCAACGGTCACGTCACTTTCAAAACAAAATGAAAACCCTGATGAACACAGTACACCCAACTGTGCACACATTTCTGGGAGAACGAGGGTGAGCAAACAAACATGGGGTGCATTTTGCTTGCACTGCTGACAGCACAGCTGGAAGGTGCTCAGAGACCATTATGAAGATCTCAAGAGAACAACCTGATAGAACAGAAAAGTGATGCACTAAAGAGCATTAGAGAGATTCCCACTGACGGCAGCAGACTTCAGATCAGGCAAACACAATCTGTGTCTTATATAGGGATTTAAAGGCAGTGCTGACAAACACATAATCTGAATCTGGACATATGCATAAGGAGAAAGTAGAGTGCCTAGGTCAGTATTTTATGAATCTTCCTGACTATATCTCTACAAAAAAACCTCTATGCCTTTAAAATAGCAACACTCTATACATTTATAGTTTTTGTACTTGATTGCTTGGTTGAGTACTTTTCTTAGGTAACATTATTATTACTGGCCTATGTCCTCTAGCTTTCCACAAAGGACTATAAAGCAAGAACTGGATTGCAGTGTAGAGTTATACATAATGTTAAAAACTAGTAGGATTTATAGAATGTAACTTTGGATGTTGACAGCCATCTGATGTCTTCAAAGCCAAGACAACCCTGTTCCCAGGGTGTTTCCTTATGTGTTTTAAAGGGTTTTGAACTGGACCCTTTCTGCAGGAGGGCAAGTGGGAGGATGGCTTGTGCATCTACTACCCAGGTTTCTGCAGTACTACCCACCACCATGTAACCACAAAGATGAGCTTATGGGATGCCACTGAGTCATGTTTGGTTCATTCACTGTCATACCCAGGCTCCCTTCTGAGGAACTGTCACCTACTCGGGTATTTTTGGTGACAAATGTGATGCTCTATGCTTGTTGGTATGGAATTGGACTCTGTTGTTTGAATTCTGCTCTAGTTGGTCAAAATCATTTTAATCTTACCCCCTAAAGTGCTTACAGTTTGGAACTGTCTGCAAATTAAAGAAAGGTACAAGTCACAAGTGACTTGAAATATCAAGTTTTTTGATGATACTGGAAAACCCTAATCAATATATCTTCTGTGCTGGCTGTGCATCCTTGACAACTGTTCTTTCAGTACGTCTATCCAGCTGGCTGTGCGCTCATCTTCCTGCCTGTTCAAACAAACCAGGTTTTCCGTGCTCCTTTATGAGAATCTCCTAATGTCAAAAGGAGTGCTAAGATGCAAAGAGATGATATCCTACTGCTTTTGGCCAGTCTGTGAGGCCTCTTAGGCTGTCAGAGAAGGAAAATAAGATGAATGACTTACAGTTTGTCCTTGACAAGCCCATCGTGATTGTTGTTTATGACTGTACAAATTTGAAGTGCTAGAGGGGGACTGCTTGATTGTCTGTTCTTGGATTTGTTTTTAAATCTCACAGTCTAGCTAGAAATTCATTATTTAGCCTTCCTGCTTTGAAAAGGCATAAAGTGTGCTTGCTCTTTCCTTGTCTTATGAACTCAATCTGTTCTCAACAGTTTTCAAAGACTGCTAACAGATCCAGTATCAGCTACACTTGATGGAATTTGCCTATCAAAAAGCTTTTATCTTACCCAAGAAATTCTCTAGCCTTTTATGTCTTACAATAGCCTCTGTTCCTACACCTTTTTGTTGCTGTTAGTAACCTGTGATCAGGTAGGGATGACTTCAAAGTGACAACCAAAGCAACAAAACCCCATCTTTCCCAGCATATTTCATTATCAGCTTTCTTCTTTCCATTTTCTTGTTCACCAGTTATCTTCCTAGTTCTGTGGTATAAGCTTTTAGCCTAACTGTATTATGTCAAGCTGAAAAATCTTCTTTTCTGCAGTTAGCCCTCTTCACTTGGAAGTGATATGAGCATTTTGTTAAGATTTGTTTTAAAATACAGCTCTTGGCTACCTCTCCTATCCACTCATAGCTGATACTTGACAATCCTCTTCTCCTGAATCACTTGGTACTATATTCTTGGCATTTAATTCACTGATTTCATTTCACAGCCAAGGCCTTGGTGGATGTGAATGTCTCTCTGTGCCATATGACAGAGGAATGTGAGCATTAGACACAGGGCTCCCATTGCCATGTCCTCCTGTCCCCCCAGGCCTCCTCATTTAGCAGCTCACGTAAATCAGCTCATCACTCATGGCCTCTTAAAATACAGCCTTTCCCAGCAATTCAGCTCCTCTTTGATCATCTAACAGTTTCACAGAGCCTGTCCCCAATTTCAACTCTGCCATGCTAATAGTCCTTGACTACAGCACCCATTTGTAATATTCTCAAAATTACTGGTTTTAATTGATTTTAGTTTTTGCAGCAGAACTAAATGGGGATAGAGTTGGAATGAAAAGAAGTAATGCACATTTTGTTTAATTTTCATGCTGCCACTTGGGGAGGAAATAGGTCCTGTTTACACCACTCTAGAGAAACTAATTGCAGTGTTAATTAAATACTACGATTGTACAGCTGGAAAACAGGCTCTGTCATAGTTGGCTTGGACCACGGTGGATATGTGCTGGCCAGAGGTTTTTCATGGATTACTTTCACAGCCTGACCCTTTCCTGTTTTTCCTCTCTGTAGATTATCAATTCGGTGGTCTTGCTGATTCTGCTGAGTGCCCTGACTGATCCTGACCAGTACCATCTAACCAGTGCTGAGTTAGGGGGTGAATTTGAATTTATGGATGATGCCAGTAAGTACAAACTGCCTAAATACTCCAGCACTTATGTAATTGTCCTATTGTTTCAGTAATTACTGTCCTTTTAATTATTGCTTCACCTTGCTATCTTACAGATGCAGTTTTATTGTGAAGGGTGTATTCTTGGCACAGTTCAAACTGGTTTCCTAGTAGCAACTTTATCTACTACCTATTAGTAATCAATCTGTCTGCTCTGCTGTGTCCTGGCTCGGCAGAGGCAGAACCAGCCCTTGGCATGGAAATATATGCCTGAGCATGATGCTGAAAGACCAAGGGGGATTTACAAGACATGAGGAGATATGGAGTCTCTGCACTTTCCAGCACTGTGTCCCATTGTGCCCACACATGCATAAGAACCCATAGTGCTATTTATAGAACTGAGTTAGTTCATTCATGTTGTATGTATATATGCACACCCCCGTGGGCAGGAGGCATGACTTGCACAAACCTGTTCTGGTAGATACAAACATAAATACCAACTGTATAGTCATAGGCATATTAGAATAACACAGGGCAGTAACAGAAAATCTCCAGCACGCTTTCAGCAAAGGGTGAGACAGGCCATTTGTTTCCTGCAAAACCTCCTGTCCTTTGCGAATGTTTCTTTCTTCCTTGACTGTTTCAAATGATTTAGTAATGTTTGTTGATTTGTTTTAACTGTTTAATTTATATCTAGGAAAGTTTTCCCTCAAAGTGATTTTGATAAAAATGTCTTTTTATTTTCATTTCTGCTAACAAGATGGTTACATTCAACATTTCTCTGGAACAAAGTCTGTTGCTAGTCACACTGGTGTTTTTGTGCTCAGAATCCCACTCATCCACAGCAAAAGGCTCAAAGTCCTTTCCTCATTCCTAGTGAAGTCAATAAAAATGCCAGTAGGAGAAGCAATAGCCCCCCACATTAGAAAAATATTGCCCTATGGTGTGTCAGAACCACTGAGTATCATTTAAAGAATGCTTATTTCCACAAGGTCTTTAATGCAAGTATACCTTGAGGGTCTACATTAAATTAATGATAAGGGGTGATTGCTACTTTATTATGTCTTCAATGAAAAACCTCCTAAAACTTCTGACTAAAAATCTTTTTATATAACTGGATTTAAGAAAGTAAGGACCACAGTAGATACAGATGGGCTCCTAGCTGATTCTGACATATTAAAACTGACTGCCTTGTCCTAATTCTCAGAGATTAACCTTGGTAATGACTGTCTGTCAGTGTGGTTTTATATAGCTGACATCAGAGGCCTGCCAGTGCCCAAGGCTTTAAAATTGTAATTCTGTTTTGTAATGCAATAGCTGTCAGATCAAGTACATTGGGGATTTCCATCTACACTTGAAAATTGTATTTTCTGTATATTTTTAACAAGGCTTCTGAAGTGAATGCTGCAAGACTGTAAAAGAATGGCTTGTGGGCCAAACGACCTTATTTCCATTTGGTAAAAGGAACATTTCACAGCCAGTTAAATTACGAATGAACATTTGAATTAATGTCTCCTTTTATTCTTTGACTCCCTCCAGTTTAATGCCTTACTGAGTAAAGGCAGCTGAATCAAGCTACTGGCTTTTATAGTTACTGGAAATAGCTGGCAGGAGATAATTTCTTTCTTCTTTTCTTTAAGTATAACTATATTTGTTTCAAGTCCGAAGAAATGTTTTATTATGAGATAAATCGTTAGACAGACTTCCACATGCTCTTCTCTTTTCCTACTTTTATTTGTCTTTTTTTGAAGAAATGTTTCTCAGGTTAGCTGCATGTGCTGAAACCATGTGTATGAAATACAGGAAGATGCATAATTTTTTTATCCTAAAGAAGGCCCCAAAGTTGTTATCTACATGTATTTCTGTTGACAAATAATAATGACGAAAACACTGTTTTCATCATTATTCTCATTACTATGGATGCTCCTATCAATAGGAAACAACAAAAAAAATGCAGATGCAGAGTTTGCATGTAAAATATGCAATATTTATGCATTATTGCATAAAATATGCAATATCCCTTTCCCTCCCTTCTCTAAGAGGCTTCCTCATAAAAGAACTGAAAATATCATCTGGAAATAAACTAATCAGCTGAGTCACAGTAGTGAAATAAAGTTAATGACAAGTTTCCCTTGACTTCCAAAAAACCAGGATTTCCCCAGTATTTGTATTCAGATTTATTTCTGTCTGTGTCTGGTTTATGGAGAATTTTCAATTTCCTGTGCCAGGAGTGGGAAAAATTCCTGCCACCTGCAAAGCCACAGCCAGCCTTCTGCAAACTCCTTGAAAATGCCAGTGCATCATCAGTTCTGCAAAGGGCTGCTCAGCCTTAATTTCAGGATTAAGTGTCGTTCCCAGGGCATTACCAGAGGCTCCAAAATGCCTTTTTGATTAGACAAAGGATTTACCTGAACACTTAGAAAAACCTCTAGGCTATTGCTTTTCCCTTATATTCTAGAAAAGGAAACAAAAAAGAAAAGAAAAAAGTCTGCCAAGACTTACTATGTGGCAGATGGAGGTACTGGAAGACACCAGTGTGTGTGGTTTGCTGGCTCTCCAAGATGTACATCTGGGAGCTGGGCAAAATGCTGGGCTTCCCTGTGTACTGGATATTCAGCTGGACCCATTCAGACTCATCTTTCTTCTTATTATTTCCTTAGGGCCTGAGGGAGTTTATGAACTAGAAGCTGGACTAGAAAAAATTAGAAACATGTGAGCTGCTCAGTGTAATACTGCTGCTGTTAAAAGACTAATAATCTTTGAGCAGGAGATGGAAAAACCCTATAATTAATTTTGACTTCCCAAGGGGATTCACCTGAGCCTTCTGCTCAGCTTCTTTAGACACACAGACCATCATCCTGAAATGTTGACAGCCCAAATCAGCAGTGGGTGTTGCTTGGTTTTAACTTACTGCCTTCACAGTGTCAAAGATGTGTGTGATACTTCGTAAGTCATATGACAACAAGGACTGAAATCCTCTGTGGGCCCTACAGAAACTGAGAGGAATTTTGACACCAGTGTCAGCAACTCAGGCCAAAATCTGCCTGTGTCCCTACCCTGGGACAGGCAGATAGATGGGACAAGCAGAGATCTCAGGGCAGGGCAGGATAATATGATGATTTCTCTCCCTAACATGACATGCACCCAGGACTTAAAAAGATTAATTCAAATAGAAAAATTTTAGTGAGCCTACAGACAACAGGCTTGGACTTATGCGGGGGGGATAAATGGAAGTAGTAGAGTGAGTACGTTTCGGCCCCAATACATCAACACCATCATGTAATATGAACCCCATGTTACAGGGAAGGGGGGAAAAAACTAGATCCCTGTCCAGCTTAGCATATTTAGAGCAGTATCTTCCCCCCTTATCTTCTGGAGGAAATTGTGCTGGACTCAAAGGTGCAGAAAACTCTTTCCTCCTCGTTAGCCTCCTTCCTTTGCCAGAGAGAAAATGCCAGTGCTGCATGGATTGTGACCCAGGAGGCTTCACAGCAGCTGACAGCAGTGGCACCCAGCTTGCACAGGCAGCCTGGAGGAGAGAGCAAGGCAGTAATCCTTAGCTGGCAGCGAGGAGGCTGTTGGATAAATAAGGCTGGGAGAGTGGGTGAAACTGCCTGAAGATCACAGGCTGCTGATCAGCAGCTTTCTGGCCCCTGCTGTCAGAGCTGTGAGCCAGTGATTAACTCCAGGGCTGGTGCAGGTGATGAACTGAAGTATTTGAGGTCTTCATCACACCACAAGTCCTGGCTTGGGAACTGGCCTCATTGGCTGTCCTCCCTGTCCCTGCAGCACCCACCACCAGACTCCTTTACAAGAGGAGAGGGGAAGGCAAGGAAATAATTTTGAGATGGATTTGAGGGAGCTCCAACTTTTGATGCAGCTTGCCATGCACATGAGTACCCCGTGGCAGAAGCTCTGCCTAACCCCTGCAGCATCTTCTCCCCAAAGCGATGGGAAGGTAGAATCTTACTGCAATGTATAAGAAAAAAAAATCAACTGGTTTCTTTAAACTCAAGATGAAAACTCAAAAAACCATCTAAGGCAAAGCCTAATAGGCTGTATAACCCCTTCAGTGGTCCAAGTAAAGCCCTTCTAGCCATGAATGTCATGGAAAGCACAGTATGGCTGGGAAAAAAAAAATCACACACCCCTGTTAGTTTCTCATTTAATGTGCTACATATCTAGTTTCATTCTGATTAATTGAAGCTGACACAACTCAAAAAAACCAATGAAGCCTTAAATGAGAAAGAACTAGCTTGAGCCAACTAGGACTTGGCATGGTGGAGCACAGCTAGGGAGACACTGGAGACAGGGAGCCATGAGTGTGTCAGACAAGCTTCAGTGTCAAATTCATCGGAGTTTGCTAGGCTCTGGCTCTGAACCAGTTCTGCCGTGGTCACCAGCAAAGCCTGGTGACTGTGACTGCTGTGTCTGCTGCAAGTGACAATGACGCTTCCCCTTGGATACGGGTGGTTGGGATTAAGAGCAGACAGAAAAAATACATAAGCAGTGCCCCCAAACTGATGTTCAGAATAAAAGTAATGATCCAAGAGACTCTTTTACAAGAGATTCATTTGAGTTTAGCGGCTACAGGCAGCCATTTCCACTTCTTTTATTACCTCCATTGTACCTGGTCTATTCAAAATAATTTTGATTTCACAGGATGTATGTGGGCAGCCAGAGTAAATGGTCATGCAGCTAAAAGTGTCTGAAGAAGTACCTTTTATTAGTAGAGATTTATTTTGTGGATGCATCTTGCTCTTGAGGCGAGAATTCAGATCACCTCTAACAGGCACAGCACAGCCTTTACAGCTCCTAAAAAGCTAGAGACAGTTCAAAGCAGTGCAGCTCAGACACCTCCACAGTCTAAGAGGAGAAGGAGGTGCATCTGTAGAGCAATTTAGGATGCACTGAGATGTCATTCCCTCCTGAATTATGAGCAGGGGGCCCAGATGCCTCCTGATGGCCTTTCATAGCACCCACGAGCTGAGCTGCAGAAAGCCACTGTGAAGGAAGCAGTGAGCACCAGTGTGCAGGTAAACTCAGTGCTGAGTCCTGGCCCCTCTCCTGGGTGAGAGGGGCGTATTTGGACAATAAGACAAAGATTCAAGCATTTGCACTGTGAGTAAGGACATCTGCACTCAAGGGCCTCATCAGACTTTAGACTACAGTGCTTCTCCAAGTGTCAGAAAAGGACACTTTATCCACTAAATTTAATCCATTAAATTAGGAAATACTCTGCAATAGGACTTCTTCAGTGACATTTGAATCCCTATGCAATCACAAGGACAAAATTTGGGGGCAACAGGAGAGAACAAGAGTCCTGAAACCCAGGACATATGCAGTGTCCTGGAAAAGGAGAGGCCTGGATTCTGAACTCCTTAATCCTGCCATTGGTAGGCACAGTGCCCAAGGAACCTGTAGCCCAAAGAACATAAACACCATCTGGAGATGCCCTCACCAGCCAACAAGTCTTCTCTTGCTCATTTTTCCCCCTCCTTCACAAGTCTCAGGTTCCTCTCTGCATCAAGGGCCAGCATAAATCTGGATTAGTGTCATCAGAGCTCTACACTAGGGCAAGGTTTGTTTTCCCTCAGGCATGGGAGGATCAAGGACTGGGTCCTTTGTCTTCTGCATGGATGATCATATTGGTAGGCTGGAAATAATGACAGATTAGTGTCTGTCCTTCCTCTTCAGCCATGACCCTGGTGAGTCTGCGCTGCTACCTGGTGGTCGTAGGTGAGACCTGTCCACAGCTGCTGGGTCAGAACCTTTCAGGTACTTTGATGAAGGCTCCAAGGCACTTCTCCAGAACCAGATTTTGATGCATCCAGGGAGTTGGAGGGAGCTGGCCCATGCTGTGGGATGCTTCTTATCATTGTGGTGGCATTAGATATTACAGCAACTCTGTGCTGAAATGAAGTAATCTTTACATTTTGAAGTCATCTTTACAGTTAGAATACCTCCAAAATCAGGATAGTGAACAACCTGAACACTGTCATGTATTTGTGTGTCTCAGGTCCACCAAGTGCCTCATCAAGGCAGGTAGTTTAAATGTACCTGGTGGCAGCAATGTGAACAGCAGGTACCTCAGAGATAGCAACAGAGGCAGAATCTCTTAAGTCATGTCCTGTGTACTTCACATCCTCCCTCCTCTTTGTGCACTGACTTAGCCTTGGAAAAGTAGGCACAATGTGCCATTGCACTCCCAAACTCACTATAAAGTCGGGTTCAGAAATTCACTTCTGATAACCTGACAATGGCCTGTAATGATATCAAGGGAAGTGCATATGAAAAGACCAAGCATATGTAATTTTTTCCCCCAGGATCTCCTTCCAGCTGTCTGTGGCTTAGGAACTTCTTAAATCTAAGGAAAAGTTAATTGAAAGCTGATCAGCAATGAAAAGAAAAAGGAGTCCTGTAATTACCCCAATCAAAATCTTTAAGAATATTTTCCTTCCTTTACTGCTTCACCTCCCTTTACAGTTACACATCTTCATTAATAAATACATCTCTGTAGTATTCTTGGTTGAAATGAAAATTTTCAAGATGTAATTTCTGCTCTAAGATGCCTTTACCTGCCAGTTTTGCTCCTTTTCCAGAAGAGAGATATGTGAGCAATGGTATACAGCCACTGCTGGTGCAGAAACAATCTGTAGTGCAGAAAAGCAGGCACTCTCTGACAACAGATGTCATCATCACCAGCAAATAGTGTTCTTGTCAAGACTGCTCCCGAGTTTTGAAAATTCTCAGAAAAATTAGACCTTTCCTCTCCACAGGCTCATAGAGGCTACAGTGGCTTGCACAGTATAAGGCTGCAGGCTTGCAGAAACACTGTCTGTGCTTCTCATATTTAGGAAGTTCCCCTCGAAAGGCAGAGGTTTCCTTCAGCAATGGCTGAATGACGCACCTGACCCCGTCTCCACCCATTTCCCACCCTACCCTTTGAGATGCTCTGCAAAAAGTAGATGACAAAATAACTGAACCAAGCTCTGAATTTACCTGCAATCATTTTGTGTGTTTCTTTTCCAGATATGTGCATTGCCACTGCAATTTCTCTTCTTATGATTCTCATCTGTGCAATGGCTACGTATGGCGCCTATAAGGTAATTATATTTGCTGAAAACATGAATCAAGTGAACTACACAACTCCTTAGAAACAAAATTAATAAAAATGCTTTCTAACAATTGCTTCTTTAATTGTCTAGCTGAAAACTGAGAGGGAAAAAAAAGGAGAAGTGGAAGAGGCAGCAGAACTGATTGCTTAGATCAGTGGTACCCCAGGGCCCCCTGCTGCAGGCAGCAGAACTGCCCAGTTGTGTTGACTGCAGTTTCAAATAAGCTCTGGGCAAATGGTGAATTCAGAGAACTGAATCTTGTACCTATCAAAGTTAAGGGAATTTTTTCCCATTCACCTCCCAAGCCTGTGGTTTTTCCCAACATTAATCCTATTAATTAGGAGGGAAAAGTATCATGTGGTTTCTAAATATCCTAGTATAATGAGTTGTGGGAATTGCAGTGCAGTTCAGCAGCCAAACTGCTTTGGCCAGCCCCTTAGGCTGAATCTCATATTTCTTTGAGCTGATTTAATACTGCATAGTGTGAAATACTCCTTGGATTTTAGTGTAGAAAGACATATATCCTTCTATTTTAACTTGTGACTGATGAGTTTCTAATTTATTTCCTTTTTAGCAACATGCAGCTTGGATCATCCCTTTCTTCTGTTATCAGATCTTTGACTTTGCTCTCAACACTTTGGTTGCCATCAGTGTACTCATCTATCCCAGCACAATTCAGGACTACCTCCATCAACTGGTAAATCACTTGATGTTCACAAGCCTTTGGGATTTTGGGGGAAAAAAAACTGTGTCTGTTTGTTCTGTATTTCTAGCCTGTTAACTTCCCATGCAGTCCTTGAGAAATTTTGTCAGTCCTTGCCAGTCTGAATTCAACATCTTTGCAAGGTTACATTGCTAGCTTACTACAATATTTGTGCAAAGTTTTAGAGTTTTGTAATGTCATGGAAGCTCTCAGCACCATTTAATTTAGAATGAGTCTCATATTGCAAGATATAGATAGTAATTGCTTTTGCATTCAGTTATTGTGTTCATATCCAGTGCCTTATTTTTGGTGCTATTTCAAGAATGTTTTTTAGCTCCTTCTAGTTTATTTGGTAGCTTTAAGACATTTCATTAGGTAAGAGTTTGATTGAGTATATATTTGGTTTTTCTAGAAAATATTTTGGATTCTGTCTTAGGCTCCCTTCTTGCCATGGTCTGCTTTGGCCAAACATCCATAGCCAGTATGGCATAAGTGTGTGAGATATGATTGCAACACCCTGAAGTAAAGAGGAGAGCACCAACCTCTGTCTCATCACAGAACCACATATGGGTTCATGCGGAGTTGCGGAGCTCTGGAGAAGCCAGTGTGCAACTGTCTCTGAAAATCTGCCTTGAGAACCCGAATACAGATTAGCTTGGCTGTGAACTTTGTTGCGTGGATGGAAAGCTAGCTCAGCCAGTATAAATAACAGGTAGTGAGACACAGCAGGCAGATAAGTAGCCACACAAATCTTCAGGAAGAGGCAACGTGTCTGTTATCCTTCATCTTATTTAACACCTACCCGCCTTCACAGTGTACCTGATGGTACACTGGAAGAGAAGCTGAGGAATAAATCAAAGGGTTCTCAGAGGTATGAGTGGAAAAGAGAAATTGCAGTCATAGTTTAGTGAGTGATTAAGCTGGCATTGCCACTGCCAGAGCCTACTGCCTATCCCTTACCTAGTCCCTCGCTGCTCGGGGCCAGCCCTGCCCTTGTGGCAGCACAAGCATCTGTGTGGTTGCAGGAATTCCCCCCCACTTCCCAGAGCGTGAGTCATAACCAGGTTTCACTCAGTCTTGGTCACTGTGCAAGACTGTGATGGGGACAGGAGCAGGCTGGGAGCTGTGCTCTTAAAAGCCTCTGCTCTTCTGCTGAAAATCTGGTGCTACATCTGAAGCTGGCTCACTATAGAAGGGCAAAGAGCAGCTGATTCTCTGAAAGTGTCTGCTAAAACATCACTGTTAAAAAAATAATAGGCCTTTCTGTATCGGAAATAGAAGGAGCAGGCCTTGGAAGGGGTTGGATGTGGTGCAGCAGAGCACTCTGTGATCTGTACTGCTTCTCTGCAGTGTTAAAATCTCTGGTTGCAAACATCTTTGTGTTGCTGTTGTAAATCATTTTCTGTACTGGTAATGAAATGCTGCAGGACTTCAGGAGTGCTAAACTGTCAGTGCTCAAAAGGGCAAGGGGGATTTCCAGGATAATTATAGGCTGATTAGCCTGACATTGCTACCAAGCAGAATAATAACAGAAGGGCTGGGGCTGAGAGGACAGTCAATTGATAAAGGATTAGACCAGAGGAAATTGATTAATGACTGCCAGCACAGTTTCATGGAAAAGCAGTCCTGCAGGCAAACTCATTTTCCTTAGCTGACAAGATTACTGACTTCGTCAATAAAGATAGGCAGGGACATAATGAACTTTCTTGAGATGATTCTCAGAGCAACAATGAAGCACTAGATCAATAAAGGATGTATCACATGGATTAGGAGAGGTTAGCTGGCAGACTGCAAAGGGTCGTGGTCAAGCCAGCCATCTGCCAGTGAGTTTCTATTTTGAGCAGAGGAAGGGCTCCAGGAATCAGCAGTAGATTTCATGCTCATCCCAGCTTCCATTAATAATGTTGGTACCCAAAAGGCCCTTCATAAAGGCTAATGTCAGCCTTGGGAGAGCTTCTCCAGACTCATTTGTCTAGAGGGATCAAGTTCTTTGGTGGGAGGTTGTAAGGAGGAGTCTAATCTGGCTGTTCTGTGTCATTCTTTGAAAGACCCTACCCTGCATTGCCTGGAGTGGGCTCATCTCTGCATTTCCCAGTGGCAGTACCTGTGGCTTTTCCCAGCAAATTCACTTCTAATAAAACCCATGGCTGACACAGTGAGCTAGACTGATTGAGAACCTGAGTTCAGCCATTAACATGTGCCACATAGATAAATGCAAAGAAATGTAAAAGCATGAGGAATATAGTTGAGCATACAGTGCCACAGCTGTGCCTGGGATGCAGTGACCCTGTAAGCAGCCTACGGAACTAAGTGCCAAAACTACAGCCTCCAAGTTGTTTTTCTGCTTGCAAAAGGTGCTTTTGGGGTTTGTGGACAAAAAAAAAGAGCAATTAATAGTAAAGGAGAGGAGACTTCCCTTCTCATCTGGTGTCATAGATTTTCTCTGTCTATTTATGGAGTCTGGTTGTAAAAAACAATGCTTAGAAGTCAGGGAACATACAGGAAAGTTCTTCAAAAAGATTATATAAAATCTGGATATATTGTAGTATGATGAGAGACAATCAGCTTTTCCTGCTTCGTTTACTGAGAAAGGAGACCAAGAGGTAGTACCATTAGAGTTTTTATATGCAAAATAATGAGATATTAAAAGGCTGTTTAAATTTGATGTGAGGTATAATGAGCAGCTAGCAGCTAAAGGCTAGTCCAAGTTCATTTAGAAAGAAGGATTAGTTTGTATTTTATCGTTCATATTGGATATTAGTGATGGGGAAAAACTACCAAAGACCTGTGATGAATTCTGTACAGTTAATGTCACCTGTTCAACAAAGTTTTGAAGCTGTTCTGCATCTACTTTGAGGCTGATTACATCTCCTATGTCTTAGCTGTGGTCCTGAGCGCAAATGACTCAAAAGGAACCCTTTGTACCCTTCCTTGGAAGGGCTACATCAGTTGGCAAAGGTTTTTACATTTGGTTCAGAGTAAATACACTCTGTCTGAGTGGGCAAAAACAAAGAGGAGAGGTGAAGATCCCATCCGCTGTGACCAGATATTTAGGCACACAGAACTAAATACAAGCTTGTCAAATTTTCAGTAATAATGCCATCAATGCAGTGCTAGTGCTCAAATACAGGACTTGATTCCCTACCTTTGAATAATACTCATGGTGGATAGGTTTGTCATCTCAAACACTGTGTTTAGAACAAGACTTGTGGTTAATACCATTGTCCCTGTAGGTGAGACCTGAGTCATCCTGTTGGGTGTAATCCTTCCTGATGATTTATAAATAAGCCCTAGAGTCATCTTGCCCCTTGCCCCCTTTGCAGTGGTCTGCCAGGGTAGGCAGGAAGCAAGGATTGTGTTTCTTCCTGGCATTCTTACAGTTTCTGTTGCTCTAAAACTGCTTTGCATTTGGGGAATGGTATTTTAAAGTACACAACTCCATAAGGGAAATGAAAAATCCCAATCATTCCTCAAATCCATTATTGAATATCTAGGCAAAGGTGTGCATTAGGTAATGGAATACATTTGGCAGTCTCAGGGGAACATTTTTTCTTGCTCTAAGGTGAAACCCCCATGTCTTTAACGATTTCTACTTCCCTTCGCTAGTATATGGGATCATTATCTATTTACTGTGGTTCACATCTGCCAGATTGCAGTCTGTCAGTGATGAGTTACAAGCTACTGGGAAACCCTCCATGTACTTTTAGCAAGATGATTAGCACATAATCAATTAGCTGGGCAGAGCCCTAGCTGAAAATGTTGCAGTTGTGTTCACAGGATGTTTGGTAACGTCAGCCTACATTGGCTGCTTCTTTCAGAGGAGCAAGTGTCTTTGGAAACTTTTGGTTGCCTTTTGATATCCAGTTGCACACAGGTGTGCCACTTGATTCTCATAGATAGCAAGAGCATCTCAGCATAAAGAGTCATGTAAAATAAGTAAGTGTTACAAATCTTGCATTTTATATGTTTTATGACGATTGCATGATATAAGTTTTGAAGAATTATATTGGACATCTTGGTCATTATCATTGTCACTTAAAAACCAAAAACTTTCTCATACAGTGAATCCAACATGTGCAAAATAAAAACCATTTTGGTTCTTGGAGCAGTAGAGGTCTAAAGCAGTTTGACCTAAAGCACATTTCTTTCCTTTAACCCCACTAAATCTTTGATATATGGGCTTTCTAAAAGCTTTAAATGAAACACTTCATCTTCTGTCATCTTGTAACAGTATATGAAGTGGATTGAAGCAGAGGTGCAGAACAGGCTAATCTGCAATTGTGTTATGCAAACTTTTTTTTTTTATTAAAGTACAGGACTATGACAGTTCATCTAAACAAAATTTCAAATTATATTAAATAGCTTTACCATAGGACTGCCTGCAATGCTGCTGCCTAACAATTCATGTGTTATCAGTCATGCTTTTAAATCCTAGGGGAAACATCTAGAGAACATGAAAGAGATTAAACCTAAAGAATTTTTTCCTATAAACTAAAGCTTAAAAAAGAAATATCCTTTCTGACATTTTTAATGCCATTTTATAATTCCAAAGAAGTAGTACTAACTTCATAGCAGAACTTTAAAAATTCTACTGACACATTACTGTTTTCTTTCAATCTTGTAAGATCCTGATACTTGGAGGATTGCAACTTGGAATGAGAATCCACACCATATTTTAAAGTGGATTTTTTATGGTCCAGGAGGAAGGAAGACGTGAAAGGTTATGCAACAAGGCTGAGGGAATGAAAAATGGCTTTAGCCTTTTTCATTTTGTTCTTCTTGCACATTTGTACAATATCAATGCAGTAGAAATGTATTTTCTATGCAAGTTTTAGATTCTTTTTAAGTGTGTAATAGAGCTTTGATATATATAAGCAGTAATTTTTAAAATTAAAAGTGTATAAGGTATATTATTATACATGCAGCCCTTTCCATGTCCGCAACAAGGTTATAAATGACACTTTAATTATGACTTTAGCAGGCCAGTTCAACACTACTACAACTACATTTTGTTTGTATAGCAATTTTCATCATGTTGTGCTGCAAAATCACTTCTGTATTTCCAGTGACAGACTTGATTTTTCCCACCCACTGAGATGTATTTCAATCTCAGCTCTATCAAAACTTGCACAGCATTTGACACTCATCTTTTTCCAGAAGTTGCAGCACAGAGCCCAGTGTCTGGAACCTTTCTAGCAGCAGGATTTCAACTACTGGTCTCCCCACAGGAGAGCAAAACCCCCAGCACAGGAGCAGAATTTCTTGTCCCCCTCATGCACCTACATCAGTGTTTAAGCTTATTGCTGCAGGCAGTGGAGGGGAATGGGTCTTTGATTCATCTGAACCACTGTTGGTACACGTTTTCCATGGGAATTAATGAGATTTTGGGAATGGCTGCTGCTCTGGGAGGACCCCAAGGGCTACCTGATGGCACCACTTCTAGGGTGATCCATCTTTCCTGCTTTTTTGACAAAAGCTGCAGGTTTTGTAAATTGGTTTTCCTTCAGCACTGAAGGGGTTTCTAGTAGTGAGTCAAGATCAGACTGCTGATAGACTGGCCCAGCCCAGTTAGCAAATAAAGAAAAGGGGTTTCTTCCATGCTAACCCAATGCCCCCGGGCTATTCATAGAAGCCCTGAAAGCCTTGTCTCCCAATTAGAAAACCTGGAAGCTCCAGGAGGGACCAGCTTCAGTTTTCACACCCTGCACCAAGATCTCCCAGGTGGGGAGGTGGGTGGGGGTGACCACCACATGGGCATAGCACCCCCCCACACCTTGCTGGGGCTTCCTAACACCTCACATCTCTTCAGACAGAGACCCAGTAAAGCTGAGCCTGAAGGGGACAAACTGCAAAATTTGTTCCTCGTGCTGTCCTGGCTTTGCTGAATTACTGTTTTTTTCACCTAAAACAATGACACTGATGTAAGGGAGGGCCAGGTTTTGCTCAGCAGCATGTCCTTCTCCCAGACTTGACCAGGGTTCATGGCTCTAGCAGATTTTCCTGCTTTTCAGTGTAGTGGAAACTTTCTTCATCATTTTTCTGCCCTCCTCTTGCCCCCATGCAAATCCCATTTGAGTTGATGTCTGGAAACAGGCCAGTAGATTATGGCCAAGACCCCAGCATGCAGTCATCCAGTCTTCAAGTGGTGACTGGTCTTCCTACACGATGACTTTTGGGAACCAAATTCTTACTAGGAATTTTTTATTGTATTCACAAACTAGTTTGACTAGTTTTTTAATGGTAGGTCAGTACTGAAAAAATAATTTGGGGGCAATTTTATTGTAACTGTCCTTGACCGACTGGACTTCCTAACTTTCTGACTTTCTTTTATGGCCTCCCTCTTGCAAACAGGAGGGGAGGTTGGAGCATTGTTTTTTGACATATACTCTTGCTTTCTTGGTCTCTGGGTGACTGCATTCACTATATTTAGGATAACCTTCTGTGGGAAAAAAAGCACCGCAACTTATTGAATTATAGCAAGCTAGTGTCCTACAAAAGCTAGTGTCCTCGACAAAGAAGATAATGTGATAAAAACTTCAGCCATGAAATTCAGTACAGGAACAGAAACACTGCTGTCAAGAAGCGGAAAATATGCTTATGTAACATTTATCTGCAAACTGTTACAGCTGCTGTTGATGTTAACCACTCTGAACAGTTCATGGAAGCGCTAAATAAAGAGCTATTCTCAGTAGCAGCTGTCCAAAAAAAAAAGATAATTTCCTGATGCACTGGGCTGAGTGCTGGAATAAGGGTTATTAAGGGGTTACTCTGGATTTACACCATCATTGCCAAGAATACAGTTATAGCTCGGTCTAGTTAATTGTCTTGACAAGGATGCAGAGCTGGCCTGGTTAAGTAATTAGACCTGTAAGGGAAAAGGGAGTTGTGTGTGGAAGGAACTATTGCATTCAGTTATAATGAGCTACTGTTGCAGTGGAGCTATCTATTGTGGAGAACAGCTCGGTCTGTGAACAGTGGTTTATTCTAACTGAAACAGGAACTTGTGCCTTGCAGTATTTCAAAACTATTTGGAACATTAATTTTAAAGGGTGTGTTTTCTTTAAGCAATAAATAAGTAAAACATTTTTAGAGGCTGTTTTTCAGCCAGTGATCCTCAAGTGTTTCACAACTGTAAATCAGTAGAGTGTGTGCTAAGCAAGAAGATTAATTTTGTCACCTCCATTTCATATATGAGGTAGCAGAAGGACCTGGAGCACATTTCAATTTGAAATCATGATGTGGCTCCCCTGGAGGACCCGTGCCTCCATGGGACATGCACTCAGATAGCAGCATTAACAAGTACTCCTGGTGAAGTAGTCCAAATTTAGCCAAAATAAGATGGAACAGAATAGACTCAATGTCTTTTGAAATGTCTTCAAATGTTTAGGTGAAAGGACTATGCTGTCCAGTTTTTCCTGCTTTGACTTTCTGGAAGGAGCTGGCGCTGGCCTTTGGCAACCAGTGCCATTATAATGATTACTCAGTAAGTACAGGATTTGCCTGCTGTTTCCCAAGATGGCAGGTGTCCTGCTGCAAAGCTCCCAGTCCTTTGCTTGTTTGTGTCAGATACAAACCCAGTGAGCACTGAGGAAAAGAGAGCCCACACCACATCCAAAGCAAAAAGCAAATTCCCTCAGACTTCCAAGGAACCTTTGACAGCTGAGTTCACAACGCCTGTTCCAGCCAAACTTACTGAAATTGGTTGTTGGTGCAGAGCTCCTGATTTAGTAGATCAGAGAACGCTTTATAAGCTGTTAATTATAGTGTGCACTAATTGAATGCCTCTTAAATGACTCGTGAGATTAACTCACAGTGTTTTGCTTATTTTTGCTTATGCAGCCCAACAATTTTCCCTACAAGGAAGAGATTATGTCTGTGAACCCTACGTGTCTGGTTGTGATTATCCTCCTTTTCATAAGTATCATTTTGGCTTTTAAGGTAAGTGCATTACTGTGTACAAAGTCTATCTCTGATCATGGGTGGAATGTCCCTTGCTGGGAGGTCTGTCTTTAGAAACATCCAGGGACCTACAGCCCAGGCAGGTATACAAAACAGTGATAGACATCATGGAAGAAAAGCAGAAAGTCTTATTCATAACACAAGAACATACAAGCCACAATAGGGAGGTGTGATGCTTGTAGGAGTGTCATGACTTGTGAATCCTTTGAAGGAGAAATATGTAATTAAGAATTTATTACATTAAGCTTATAGAAAACAAGGCAACTAAAATTGGAATGGCAAAAATATTTACTACAGAAAAAAAAAAGTAAGAAATTAATTGTGCAAAAGACTCATTTGGTTTTAAAGTGGCTAACACGTGTTTTTTTCCAAGAGTACATGTGGCTCATATAATGCTCATTCTAGCAACATGTTATCATATAAATTAGTCACAAAAATATGACTCACACAGAAACACATGCTAAATTCCAATTAGCATTTTCATTTGAATTTCTTATGTTTCCAGAAGAGCTGTTATGCAGATTTATGGAATCTGCTCCATGAAAAGAAAGCTGGACACACACAGATGCTTCACAGTTTATCACTGATAGACTTAACAGATGGTACCACATTTATGTACTGAAACTGAAAAGGTATTGTGCACAAAAAATATGCCTGAGCTCCCTCTCCATCTGGAGTTCAACTAGAAATAGGGAGAGGAACCAAAACATTGTGACCTAGGAAAAGCTACAGTAGGGAAAGCTGCATTCAGCTGGTGGGAAATATGAACCAGAATCACCTAATTCCTTAGAAACATTTGGCATTTTGTTTTCAATTTCAAACTTTCATTTCAAACTTTTGTTTTCAGTGAAGCTACGTGCACAGGAAAACTTTACTGAGCAGAGAGCAAGACTATGCAGTGTTGGTTGTTAGGTTTGTGTTTTGCAGTCATGGGATTGTGAAAAGGCAAGAGATGGTGGTAAGAAAGCGAGCCAGCTAGCCACACACAGGCACTTGTCTTTTTAGAGCTTAGAATTTACTTGGATCTGAAGCAGTCAATGGATATTTCAGGCAGTTTCACATGGAATCCTTTTCAGAGTAGACCAAAATGTGTTATTTCATTCACTGTCTTTGTCTAGAAACTGAACCACAGTTGCATGCCACCAAACATATCTGGCCTATCTGACCAAGGAAGGACATCCAGCAGCACAAATGTATTTTATGTATGTACACAGGACTTCAAATGGCACATAGCCAACACAGTGGCTTTTGAATTACACCCTCCTCTGCAGCTGGTCTGGAGAACATGGCCTGGGTTTCCTCTGGCCAGCTCCAGCTGCTGAGACAGAATGGTTGAGGTTTCAATCTCCCTTCATGGGGAAGCCCCTCAGGCCCAAATGAGCTCAGGTGAGCACAAACACAACCAGGATAAACCTTTCCCCCAGGCTTCCTTGAGCACTCTGCAGCTTCAGAGTATGGTCTCTTCTTCTCTGGCCTTTCTCTTCCTGAAAAGTAGGTAGGAAGAGGTAGTTGCCAGTGGAGCAGCCAAAAGGTATTCTAGTTCAGTGAGACTGGCTGGTCTTCAGCAAACTCAGTATTAACCCTGGTCTACATAATATGCCTAAAAAGACACTCATACAAGGTGTTGAGCCTGGAGATGAGACCACTCTGCATGTCCTGGTGCCTTCAGCAGATGGGAAAGGGTTATATGGAATGAAGTTCTGTACTCTCCCTGAGAGATTTGCTATCTCAGCCCAAGGGGATGCCTTCTGGCAGGGGGAACCCTGACCTGCAACCCATCGTCCCAGTGTCTGCTACCTTCCTGTGTTCATGGGACCATGAAAACAGCCCCAACAACCAAGCTTTGATCCACATTCCCAGGAATGACCAAAAAGGAGCCACGAGGTTACCATCTGTCCCAAAAAAGCTTAGGACTGGTCCCAGCACTGGGGTTTCTGGTGGCAGGGTAGTTATGGGAGAAGCATTTCTAAAGTAGGGGTCATTTGCTTTAAATCGCATAAACACAGTATGTGTGACTGTGAGGTGACAGGTGATGTCCTGGCCCCTAGAAGGTGCCCTTTAAAGTGTTGCAGGCCAATAGTTTACTTCAGTATCATTAGTTCTTTCCAATCACAGCACTTCTTTGCTGTTCTAAGCAGTAGTTCTTGTACCCATTTTTTATACTCCTAAGATACACCTTGTAGTGTACTGAGAATATGAATTTAATTGCCAGTTTCATCAGCACAGCAACCCATTGTTTCTCCTTCTCTAGTACCAACACGGGAAATACACATGGTCAACTACTCTGCCATTAGCATCCCTCTGAAATCTTCATATAAATTTCATTTTGTGTATAAATCTTTATCTCATTTTCACCAGTTACTGAAGCCCATGCCAGCTCTTTAAATAGAAAATTCAAAGCAGCTTGGGAAAAAAATGGGATGCAGTGCAGGCAGCTCCTAACCTGAGGGGCCTGTGTCGGGTCTGCGGCATTCACCCTGCGCTTGCTGCCAGTGAGGGGGCTGCCCACAGGGCTGCTGTGACCCAGATCAGCACAGACTTTTCCTTTCTGTGTTACAAGAAACAGCACAATGTAGCAGCCTCTTAATATCCACAGAGATGATGGTCAGTCAGCTGGTGGAGCATGTGTCTGATGAGCAGAAGTCTGCAGTACCTTTCTGTTGATGTGCTGCTTAAGAAGTGAGTGTGCAATTGCAACAGCAAGAGGCAGGGTTACAAAGTTTTGTGTGTTTCAGTTCCATAGGGGCTCAAGTACTTTCCTACCATGCAAAGGGGAAGACTGAAAGCTGGTAGAAGTAGGTGCAGTGCCTGTTTCCAAATTCAACCCTTCTTGTGCACCCATCCTTTCACGTGGTGGCTACTTGGGGCTGCCTCTCCAAAAGGTGTCTGTCAGCAGCCTGTGCCATGGTATGCAGGAGTACCACTAAGGGTGGATTAGGCTGAGGAATTGAAGGCCTTTTATGTAGGGCCAATTTCAAATGTAAACATTGGTCTCCTGAGATAAAAATTGATATATTTATATACTGAGTGTCCAGCCATGCATTTTAAAGCAGTATTTGAAACCTTAGCCAGGTTTTTCAGGAGAGGAAATTGGTAACTGAATCAGGAATCCCATTTAATGGTGCAGCAGTATTGGTAGAAAACAATTATTAGGAACAAGTTTAAATAAAGTTATAGGTTGAAGAAAATGGGTTTCCATGACTCTTGATTTACAGACCAGCAGCACCTGTCCAAAGCACTTGGACAAGGATGTGCTCTGAACTGCTGCCACTCTCAGCCATATGTGGGTCAATGTCCTGTGGCCAATTACTTGGTGTATGCTGGCTGGTGACCTCTTTAATTCAAAGGCTGGAACAGACCTCACCCACTGAGAAACAGCCCATGCACGCAGGAGCAGGGCTGATTAGAGCTAGGGTTCAGAGCTGGGAGAGCTGTAGGGGTTAATTGTGGGGTTAAATGTGTTTTATTCACCACACATAATGGAATGGGAGCATTCAAAAATGAATTTCCCACTGGCTTCTCCTAGATAGGATTGTATTATCTGAAACAGGGCTTCCCTCAATTTGGATTTTAACAGGAGGAGTGTAGAAATAGGTTTGCAAATGGGTAGGCTTAATGTAAAAGGTCTCTTATAAAGTGAGGCTGTGTCCCCACAGAAGTGTACTATATTCAGTCTCTGTTCTGTAGTGGCTCTTATGCCATTCTCAGCCTATAGTATCTGAGCATTGAAAGCTACTGAACTATTTAATTACCACTTATAATTAACAATGACATTTTACTTAATCCTGGAAAAGATCCAGTTCTTCATGTTTGTGCCTTTACTTGTTTCAGTAGTTTGGGGCAGGTTTGCATAGCTCACAGCTCAGGCTGTAGAGCCTGTCTAATATTCCCTTTGGACTTAGCTCACTCCAGAAGCCTTTTGCTCCCCCAGTTTGGTGGTCAAAAGTATTGCCAAAGTCTGCAACGCCTCTGTAAGATGGTCCCCGGGGTCTGTAAGATGCTGTAAAAAAAGAGGAAGCAGATTTACCAGATTTTAGCCAGCTCCGCCCCGGTGGAAAAAACTCTTCCTGATCTGCAAGCAAGCCATAGTGAGTCATGTGGCATCCTTAAAAACACAGCTCATGTGTGTCAGCTCTGGAGATGGAGGAAGCACGGGGCTCAAAGGGATAAGAGGCTTTTGGAAGGTCATCAGTGCAAGTTGAGTCACAAAAATATGACTCACTCAGTGAGACACACATGCAAATGGAGTCAGCACAGGCAGTTTGATTTGCATGTGCTAGTTTAGTGAAAGAATTGCTGTGCGGAACCTACTAAGAGAAAATACAAGTTGGGCACTATCAAAACACATAGTTCTCCTCATCGCTGTCATGTGTGACTACATGGGAAACACAAAGCTCCAGAGGAAACTGCTTTCTCCCACCAGCCTTGTTACTAGCATGCTGCGGATCTGACTCCTGCTCCTTCCTGCCTCTCTGCCTTCCATCTTCCTTCCAGTCACTTTGCTCATCTCTGCTGCCCAGACTGGAACATTTCATGCTGGTGAAGGAGATGACAGTTGTGAACACTTTGCCCAACCAGTTAAAAAAAAAAAGGTGTAGACAACAGCAGTCCTACCCAGAGCATAGTGAGCTCCAAGAACAAAAACAGTGAAGTTATGTGATCTTGCAGTAGGTTTATTGCTGGAATAACAGGTTTTTTTGCTTTACACTGAAAAAATATTTGTAATAATGTTTAAAAGGTCAGAAATAATTTCAGATGTCAGTAAGACTCCAGACCATTCCAATCACATGGAATACATAGATTTAATATCAGATTAAGTGAAACAGAGTATTGAAATAGTGCAGGTGATCTGTAGTATCATCACATAGTCATTGTCTAGGTTTCCACTCACAGGACAGGGAAGGTTTCCTGTAATTTGATGATTCTTCAATCCCCAACATGGTTGAGCTCTTTATGCTGGGGTTTGCTTCCACTTTCTAAAACTACTAAACCCCAGTTGAATTACTCACGGAGCCCCTCTACATTGTCATAGCCACTGCAACCAGAAAAGTGACTGTCCCATGCTTCTACCAAGCTGATATTTGTATTTATAAAGAATGGAAATGCTCTAAGAGAAAAACCCTATGGTTTATTTTCTGCACAGAATAATAAATCCCTTTTCTTTGCAGGGTTACTTGATAAGCTGTGTGTGGAACTGTTACCGATACATTAATGGCAGAAACAACTCAGATGTGTTGGTGTACATTACCACCAACGACACTGCGGTAAGGATGTTAAATTGCAAACATCTGTCTAATGTTATGCATTTAATGGTTTTATTTTTTATTAATTTCTGACTCTTCAGTTAACCACCTTAATTTCTTTAGGAGTCCTCATCTATTGGTTATGTTTGGACTTGAGATTCAACAGAGTGGCGTGAAATGGTTGCAATTCACATCTATTGCTAAAATACTGAATTTATTTTAAGTACACGATCTGTTAAAGAATCTGTGTTAATCATAAACTAAGTTTATCTTGTGGCCCCAGGAATGACCCTCAGTTCTGATCTCTCCAGCTGTGTGATGATCTGGACAGTGGGGAGAATGATTAGGATTCAAGGGTGCCATGGTCTGCACCTGCTGTGACACTTGGATTTATCTGTAGAAACAGTGATTTAGGATGCAACATCTGGTGCAGTGCTTTATAAACTCACAGAGAGGAGCTAAAAGGCAACAAAAGTTCAGTGATTCATTTCCCAGCACATGATGAGGTTTGTATGGTAAGGAGACAGAATGAAACAAAGATTGTTGTGAAAGAAATTAATAAGCATATTTTAACCTCAAACATGGAAGGTATTATTTCACTTTACAGTAGTTTAGTGCTGACATACCTATGTGCAGGAAATGACCGCTAAGCAATGTCTCAATTTTGCAGAAGGCACTGAGGGAATACAGGAAGAAAGAGTCTCTAGGAAAGAGCCAGTTCTGTTTGCAGTGGTATCACCATGGAGCCGCTCAGTTCCACCCAAGCTATACACACTGACGGCACTGTGCCAGATCAGTCCCTGGGGTGACTCCACTGGCTCGTGGAAAAAGGGTCTTTACATCACTTACATAACAGAATGAGAACAGCATGAACTTGGTCCTTTGGATCATCTGGGTAAAATTTCAGGATTGCCTTCCTCAGGTTTTCCTAATTGTGGGTGGTCTCCACAAACTGATATTAGACAGTCAACTATAAACCATTGGAATGAGTGAGTCCTGTGCAGCCACAAGGACTTAGAAAACTATCACTGCTTCTACTTGAAAGTTGTAACTCCTGCATAGTTATTTGTCTTCAATACCTGAAGCTTTAAGAAAAACGTAAGAAGTTTTACAGAGCACGATCAGAGCTGGCAACCAGGACATTTAAGTATATATATATATAGTTTATTGAAAGCTAAGATGTATTATTACTTTCTTTACTGGAATCTACTTTGAATAAAACTAGGCGTTTTATGTGAAATAATTTTGATAGCTCCTTAGTTCAGCCTGTGGGTAGTTCTAACTCAGCTTCAAACCTTGTTAACTCTACAACCCACAGAACTGGCAGGCTCAGTAGTGGGAGAGTGTCAGCTGGATTATCTGGGAAACTGCACTTACTTTTTAAAAGCTACATTAAAACCACCTGCTTCACTGCTGCCTTTATAAACCAAAAGACTGGTTTTTAGAGATGCCTGGTTACCAAAACTCTTCTCATTACTTTTGTATTTAGTGATTATCAAAGTACTCTGAGCTGCCTCCTCATCTTCAAAGCACTTATGAGTGTTTCTGTGAGGAAAGGAAGCCCTTTTATTCCTTTCACAGATGACGTATTGTTGCACTGAGTATTTAATTCAATTTGGTTATTGTGATCTTGCAAGACAGCTACACAGAAGCAGGTTTTGAGAAAGGCTGTGCGTTCCTAGCTAGTGCCTTGACCACTGGACGCTTCTTCCTTCCCCAGTATTTACACCTCAATTTGAAAAAGGTCAGAATCTGTTGCTTTCAGGTATGATGCATCTTTCTCAGTTCAATAAGATAACATTTGATCAGGTCCTGTAGAAAGAGCTGTTTGGGAATTTAGCAGCTAACCAAGAGTATCACCCAAAACCTCTTGTTTGTGAGTACAGACAGACTCAGGAGCAATGCTGCTGGGAAGAGTTTCTCAGGTCCAGCCAGGGAGGTAGGAGGAGAGTCATTAACAGCCTGGGTTTTGAATTTTTTATTGGGGGTGGATACAAGCTTTATTCAAATTCATGTCTGACTGCTTCTTTCTGGTCAGGATGAGCTCCTTCATCCCCAGCCTCTTTCTTTGTTCTGCTCTTTGCTGAGCTTCAGTGAGGAACAACAGTATGTAGGGATAATCCTCATCCTTCTCCACTGTGAATCAGAAGGTTTTCTTCCTTCACCCCCCAAAATCACAGACTCAACAAGATTAATTTTTTTCTGTGTCTACATTAAGAAACAGCAACAAAAACCTCTCTTCACCTGACTGTAAAAAAGTAAGCTCAATACAATTGGATAAAAATTGGTTTCAAAATGAAGAGTGGAAGAATAAGACTTTGAAAGTTGAGTGCCGAGAACCTTTGAGAGTTTAGGACTCTTGAGGAAACCTTATTAATGTTGTGATAGGTCACTGCTGTCTGTTGAAATGTATAATATTCCCCTAACACTCAAGTCTACTTTTGTATTAAAATGATGGTTTTTTCATTTTTATGAATCTTGGGAAACTTCTTTCAGCGGGGCTTCTTCATGCCAACATGCCTTTAAATCATAAACTATAGGTTTCTTTAAAAATGTGAGTCAATCTCTGCCCCTCTTCTTTGAAATAAATATACCATTTGTAGAATCAAACCTGCTAACTGAATTCCAATAGGTTATATCTGCTGGGTATGTTCTCATCTTCAGGGATTTTTTTTAATATGTATTTATCAGCAGCATTAGCTAAAAGAATCTGTACAAATGCAAGCGAAAATCTAAGCTTAAATATGAGACTGAGCATAATTGCTACAACTTAAAGTAAAAATTTTAAGTATCACAGAAGCATAGAATCACAGAATGGTTTGGGATGGAAGGGCCCTTCAAGATCATTTAGTTCTAACACCCCTACCATGGGCAGGGACACCTTCCAATAGAGCAGTAGCTTGCTCCACATCCCATCCAACCTGGCCTTAAACACTTCCAGGGATGGAGTGTCCACAGCTTCTCTAGGCAGCCTGTTCCAGTGTCTCACCACCCTCATAGTAAAGAATTTCTTTCTGATGTCTGTAATCTAAACCTGCCCTCTTTCAATTTAAAGCCATTCCCCCTTGTCCTGTCACTACACGCTCTTGTGAAAAGTCCCTCTCCAGCTTTCTTGTAGACCCCTTCTAGATAATGTAATGTGCTATAAGGTCTCCCTGGAGCCTTCTCTTCTCTAGGTTGACAAAGCAGAGGTGTTCCAGCCCTCTGATCATCTTTGTGGCCTTCCTCTAGACTTGCTTCAACAGGTCCATGTCCTTCATATGTTGGAGGCCCCAGAGCTGGATGCTTCTTTGTTTATGGAAGGAACTTGTCTTAAAATTCAGCATTGCATATATATATATATATATACAAACACACATAATAAATTGAATTGCTTTTTGCTATGTTTTTGCTCTGGTGTTCCCAGTACAAAAATTTCCAGTTAGCTCTCCCCAGTCAAACTGGTTCTTATAAATAATGCTCATAAATCTGAACTGTAACTAAGCTGTTATTGGGTACCAGATAATCTGATTTTTGTCACTCAATGTAAGTGGCTTAAGCCATCCTTTTTGCAAGTGTGCCATCTGGAACTTACAGACATCCTCCCATTGCAGACCATGAACAGGATTTTCCTGCTGTCCCTGTTAGGTGAGAGGTCCTCCTTCTGTGACCTTTGATCAAGGTTTGACACCACATGAATGTACATGGCTTGGCTCCGTGGGCAGACTGTGTTATGGCATGGGGGAACCAGCTGGGGCTGGGCAGGGGAATGGCCTGGACCCCAGGTGGTAGAGGAGGACATGACCAGCTTATGCTCCAGGACATGGAGATCCAGCTGCATACCTTAGTCACAGCAGAGTCTCTTAGAAATATGGATCTCCCTGCTCTAAGTGTTTTTCTAATACTTCTCTCCCCTCAGTTTGTGGGAGCATCTGTGGGAGATTTTGGCATGCCAGTAACATGACTCCCCTGCAGTGAACCATAGTAACCTGAGGATTGTTTTTTCTACTTTATCAACTTGGGATTGCTTTTTCCTGCTAGCTACTCAAACACACCATGGATGAAGATTAATTTTCCACAGCAATTTAAACTGTTACAGCAGTGCCATGGAAATGTTCATCTAATTTGGAAAAGTTGCCAGTGTACAGGTGCAAAAGATAACCCAAAGTTAGACATTTGTTCTCCAGAGCAGTAGCAGTTCTATTGTGCTCTTAGACAGTCAGGGGATTTCATTCTGTTTATTTTTAACTCTCACTGAAGCCAATCAATGGAAGTTTCATCTCCGGTCATGCTGCCAGTGGGGATAAAATGTAAAGCCGTAAATCTCTCTTCAAAGTGGGATTTAGATCTTTATGTGCTTTATAAAATCGCTTCAATAGATCTTATCTAACATATATTTATCCACAATGGTTAATAAGTTGCTTTTTTTAAAAATGCAGATATATTCCCTCTGTGGACATGACCTCAACTAAGTAGCCTGTAATTAAACAGTCAACACTTGTTTGCTTTCCCTTTCTCAAAGCATTTGGAGACTTATTTGAGAAGTGCAGTTAGATCTTTCATTTCTGATGGATGATTCCTCTGATCAGAGGAAGAATATTCTTTGATAAGGTGGGAAGAGTCATTCTTTGTGTTATTGTATTATTCTGCATGTGTGGAAGGTAATTTATTTGGCTATGGACGGAGGGAAGAACCCTTAGACTCATGCCAGTTAAACAGACTGAAGCCTGAGATGGAGCCCAGAGACCGACAAACCATATGCAAGAGCTCTTATTTTTCAGAGGTGCTTTGGGACCTGTGATTTACAACTACAAAGCCAGTTTGAGGAGGGTACATGTCAGAGTAGAAGACAACTCGGAGGAAAAATCCTGCTTTAAAGATATTTTCCACAAAAATCCTGCAAACTTGTCAGTTCACCAGACCTCAGGTTTTGTGTGGGGGTTTGTATGCATAACATTGTTGCTGGGCCACTAGATCACAAACATCCTTTTGTGGTGAATAGTAACCATGAAGATACTTTAAAGTGAGCCCACACCACAAAT